GTATCATATCGCTTAAACAAACTCCCCTTTTCGATATTTTCAAGGAGCCAACAAAAACAAAGAAGAATAAAGCTGGATGATAACCGTTAAGGACCATTGGGGCTATGTTGTTTATAACCAGAGATATAGCTTTTACCAGTAAACCCATGACACAGTAGACACTATATATGGAGCATTCCGAGAGAAAGACTCAGCAAAGGATTGCCACGTCCCATCCAAAGTTAACATTCGAGCCAATGTTATCCCAACCTGCATTTTAACAATCACAGTAAACTGTCATCAAAATGAAATCTGATTATAAAATGAAGCAGAACCTGAAAAGGATATTAGGAAGATGAAACAAAAGTACCGGCATAAAGCACAAACCCATATATTTAGAGCCTCTTCGCTAATAAAAAGCCCGCACCCGGCTGCCATTAGCAACCAAAAGTAAACCCATCTGCAAAAAGAAGACATTGAAACAACTTAAGTGTACAGTCTGGTTCATAAGGAATGTAACAAGAGGTAGTTTTGCGGCTAACCCCGGTGCATTTCCTGGAATCATGAATCTGTTTCCAAATGCATTGAACGTAAAGCCTTCTGAAGATGATGAAACTTTGGCCAAACTCTTAACCTCCTCAAAACTTTGGCCCTTCAAGGTTACACTAATTACTGTAATAATCAGAGCCAATCCTAACCCCAAACCTAACTTTAGTATGAATGGAACTCCCTTTTCAGAAACTCTATCGTTTTCGATTTTAAGCATCTCATCGTCATCTTTGTTATCTCGAGACTTTTCGGAATCATTGTCTCCAACATTTCCTCTCTGAAAGCTTCTTACCTTGATCCTGCCACAATAAGAACATCAAATTATCAAACAACATATGAATGAAGCTAAAGGAAACAAACCCACAAGCCAATATGTTCACGAGCCATACTTGTAAACAAAATTGACACAATATTTTCAGATTGTTGATTGCAAACTAACAACTTCTCTTTGCTTCTATTGATTAACCTATTGGATAATTCAAAATCCAAGATAATCAAATTCCACAAAAAAGAAGTGCTCCAGATTCTTTCTATCAAAACTCAATTATCAAGAAGTAAAACCTGTAAGAAGGAAGCGAGAAGGATCCATAAAAAACTCTGGAGTCGTTGAAGACAACAAGGTTAGGTTTTGAAAGGTTTAAGGAAAACCCATTCACCGGAACCACCATCGAAGACAACATACTTGGGATTTTGGCTCCAACAAGACCGTGTTTTGACTCTTGTCTGTATCTCTCTGTGATTCAAAGACTGTCGTTTTATTGGAAAATTCCGTAAATAACAAAAAATAAAATGATTTTTCGGAAAATTAATGGATTCATTGGATTGTCCATCATCTAATTAGCCCTCATACCAATTATCCGAGATCCAAGATTCGATTCGGGATCCGCTCCGATTCGCTATCCGGGTTAGGCGGATCCGGATCTGAATAATAAAAAACGGATCTGGCATGATCCGGATCATGAATTCCTAATAGTATAAAAAAATTAAAATTTGGATATCAGGATTCAGGATATTTTATATTATAATAATATTTTTAATATTATATTATTATTATTTAAATTTTATTAATAATTTAATTTTTTTAGAACAATAATATTTTTAATTATTGGAGATTGACAAAAATAGCATTAAAGCAAGTTTTTTCCAAAAATAGCACTATATTTGAAAAGTTCCACAAATAGCAATGTAAACTTTAATTATATATTAAATATGAATAAATAGTTTACCTAAAATAAATAAATAAATAAAATTAGAAATTTTCCGCCAAAATTTATTTTTTTCGCCAAAAAAAAATTTTCAACATTTTCCTGCAAAAAAAAATCCCGTTAAATTTTTTCGCCAAAAAAATCCACGAAATTCAGGAAAGATTCCTTGAATTTCAAGAAAGGATTCCCTAAAGGATTGCAGGAAATTCAGGAAGAATTCAACGAAATTCACGAATGATTTCATGTAATTCAGGAAGGATTTCATAAATTCATGAATTTCAGGAAGGATGCCATGTAATTTAGGAAGGGTTTCCCGATTCGTGAAATCCTTCCTAAATTTTTTGGAATCATTCCTGAATTTTTTGGATTTTTTTTACTGGAAAAGTTTGACAAAAAAAATTTTGGCGGGTTAATTTTGATGATATATTTTTTCCGGAAGCGAAAAATATTTTGGCGGGAAATATTGACGGAAAAATTTTGACGGGAAATATTAACGATGAATTTGTGATTTTTTGTATTTATTTATAAATATTTATTAATTTAAAAAATCAAAAATAAGATACTATTATTGTCCAATAAATTTTTGGGGACTATTCTTGTCCCAAAAACTTGATTTGGAATAATTTCTCTTTAAAAAACTGACAATTGTTATTAATTTAATTTAAATACGCTTTACTTCTTAAATCATAGTTCCTTTGTTTTTTTTTAAATTGATGTCTTAGTATTTTTATTTTGTTTCACAAACATATTGATTAGTTTTTTTCTTTTCTATTAATTGATATTATAAACATAAATATTGAAATGCAATGATAATTAAATTTCTTATCTGAAATAAAAAATAATATTAAATAATTAAACAATATATTTTTTTAGAAAACCTCAAAATATCAATCTTTTTTTTTTTTTTTCTCATAAGTGTAAACTTTATTCATAAAATGCTTGTTACATTACAGCCCATAAAAGCCCAGTTACATAACTTAAGGATGAAGAAAGTTATCATTGTCCTCACACAAATACACGTGTCAACAAGGGGTAACAACAAACACACGTATTGGATGAAAAATCTAAAGCTTTCCCGACAACAACTTCCGCCGTCTGAGGAACCGATTCCGGTGAAGTAAATTATCATCGAAAACTGAAATTCGACTATTGATTCCTTTGTTTTTCACCGATCAAACTTCTTGTATGATGAATCAAAGCTCCGAAATTTGAGATTACGGCTAAAAGGAAATTAAAATACGCGAAGGAAAATTCTTCTTTTCTTCAACTTTAATCGCAACTATCCTTGAAATTTGTTGTAAACCGCATGTCTAAACCGAAACGAGTCGGAGAAGAGCCATCTTTAAACGAAAAATCGCTTAAAACGATAACACCAACACCGAATAACAAAACCGGACTACGCCGGAGAAGAAAAAAGGAAGCCGGCCATCACCGCCATGGAACTCGGTCGATGCCGGACTAAAGCCGGCCATCACCGATATGGAATTCGATCGATGCCAGACGATAAAACCCGACTAATCGGGCAACAGAAGCCGGAAGAAATCCGGACGGCAAAGAGTTTCATCAGCTTTCTCTTTCTCTGAAAGATTTTAAAGAGAAAGCAGCGAAAACAGCATCACCTCAAAATATCAATCTATTAAGCCATATACCAGCTATCAAAATATTTATTACTCTATTTGTTTTGTCACGTGGCTCCATCATTTTGATTATCTGGAGAACTTGTGAACTAAGCGACAAAATTATTACCGACTCTTTTTTTCTTCTTCATTTTATTTAATTAAAAAACAAACAAAACAATTAAACAACAACCAAGATTCTCTGTCCTAATAAAAGCTCCCTTCTCTTTGTATCTCCTTCGACTTTCAGGTGTTACTCTGATCTCAACTTCATCTCTATCCTCTTCTCTTCCTCTTTTTCTCTGTCTATATATGTTCTTGACTTTTCTTCTGAACTACGCAATTTATTTTTGGCTTTGTATAAAGTTTTCTCGTTAGGGTTTCTTTAGTGACTTTCGTTTCCCCAACTTTTTTTGCTTTTTTTGGGTAAATCTTGTTTTGGATATTATGATTTTGTGTTTCGGCTGAATAAATATTTGTGTAAGAGTTACTTATTTTCTTGAAATCTCCATTCTAGTCTAAAAGAGCTAATACCCTTTTCTTGATTTTCTTGATTTAGGTTTCTATTTACAGATCTCTAGATTTTTGGCTGAGGTTTTTGCAATTTGTGACTTTAGTTTCATCGAGTGTGTGTGTTGAGAAATCATATTCAGATTCAGGGTTACTGATTGAGAGAGAAAGAGAAATGGACTACCCGGAAAGTTATAGATTGACATTTTATGGAATTTTGGTTGCTTTTATGGAATTAGCATTTGCTTATTGTCTTCTATGTGTATCGGCTATCGTCTTTATTACATCGAAGTTGCTACTGTTTTTGCCATGTCCTTGTTCTGGAATTCTTGGATACCAAAACAGTGATCTCTGCATCCAAAAACTTCTCTTTGATTGGCCATTCAGAATCATACTCAGAGTCCAGAAGCTAGCTACTACTACTAGGCTAAGCGTTTTGCATCATCAGGAAGATCAAGAAGAGAAGAAGAATTTGGTTGAGAAAGATAAGAACTTGGAATTGATTGATAAAGTGAGGTTGTTGGAAGAAGCAGTTGAGGAAGAGAGAGTAGCTAGAGCTGCTTTAATGGTTGAATTGGAGGAAGAAAGAGCAGCTTCAGCATCAGCAGCTGATGAAGCTATGGCTATGATTCTGAGGTTACAAGCGGATAAAGCTTCGCTTGAGATGGAAGGGAAGCAATATGAGAGAATGATTGATGAGAAATTTGCTTATGATGAGGAAGAGATGAATATACTCAAGGAGATTCTTTTTAAAAGAGAGAGAGAGAAGCATTTTCTTGAGAAAGAACTTGAGACTTACAAGCACATTGATGATGATCAAGAGACCCAAGATGATGGTTTCAACGAGAAGAGAGAAGGCGATGAGGATAGAGAACCGATTATGTATGATGTTCATGTCATTGAGGATAACAGTAATGCTAAGGTCAAGGATGATGATGTAGCAGAACACAAAGAGATGACGCAAATGGAAGATGAAGTGAAGCAACTTCTAGTCAAGGATCATGATTCAGTATCATCACCTACTTCATCTTCCATTCATCTCCCATAAGTTTCTAATTCTGGTTGTTGACTCTGCTTTAGTCAATGTGTGTTTGTGTAGATTTGGTGTAATCTGTGAATATCAATAGACAATTTAACTTTGTGAAATAAAATTGTTTTGATTGAAATAAGAACCAACATAAATTGTATACAGCAGAAGCTGCAGAGCAATAGAGTAATGAAAATGGAAAAGAGAGAATTCTTTCTGACACTAACAAAATCAAATTTCAGATGCAAAATCAAAATCAAGACTAGCTTCAACGAAATGGGTTTAAGACTTTGAGGTGATAGACGTCGATTTTCTTAATACTTAACCGGGGCAAGAACATCGAGCTGTGATCCGAGCTTCTCTTCCGCAACCTTTTCTGCCTTGGCCCTGAGCTTGTTGAGTTGCTTCTTACGCTCATACACCACTTGTGATTTTTCCTTTCTCTTTGTCTCAAGTTCCTGTTACAATCAAAAACTCCAAACATCAATTTCAGTGACCTAATTCTACAAAATTCTCCAATTAAGCAGGATTTGGTATCCATAACTCAATGTCTACACAGAAACCAGTTTAGCAGAAGCAAAAATGAAGCAAGATATTCAGAGTTGAGTGCGAAAGACTCACCTTAATGGTATCGTAATGGTTCCAGCCAACCTCAGACGATAGACGTCCCAATAAGCAGTACTTGTGGCCACTCTGAAGTCTCAAAACCCTGATTACAAAATCAACTGATCATTAACTATTACAAAATCATAGGAACAAAACAGAACACAAAAACAAAAGAGAACTTACTTAAGAGCATCAGGAATAACCATTCTCTTAATCTTGTCATATGGAGGTGGGATTCCCTCGAAAACCTTCAAGCGAGCAAGTGCAGCAGCACCACGCTTGGTCTTGTGTGGAATCATACTGTGACCAAATCAACAAAAATTCAATTTCACAAAACTCAATAAAGCAAAAAACTTCCATTTATGTTAAAATACTACATTTTATTACTCACACAGCAAATACAAAACACAATTGCACAATTGAGGTGCCAATTCTTTTATAAACATAAGAGATATTAAATCTACACCAAAGAAAACAAATTTGCATTCAATAGGATTAAATTCAATGTACATATCCAAAAGTGATTTTCAAAACTAAACAGAACAATTTGCAAGCACCAATATCCACAATTACATCCCCAAAACTCAAAAAGGGAAAAACTTTGGCTCTATATAAATGATACATTCATATTACTCACGCAGCAAATACAAAAGCTTCGATAATCAACACTTATGATAATAATTCGACAGCAAAATATCCAAAATTCAAACTTTCTACACCCCAAAACTCAAAAAGGTCAAAAAAAACTTCATCTTTGTATAAATGCTACATTTCTATTACTCACACTGCAACTACAAAACCGATTATCGTAACTTATCATAACAATTTGAGAGCAACATATCTACAATTCAAACATTGTTACACACCTAAAAACTTAACACAATTACACAATTGAACTTCCATATCTCTTATAGACACAAAGAAAACTAAATTGCACTTCCATTGCATCAAAATATCCACACAATTCAATCTTTGCTACAACCCAAAAACTTAAGAGGGCAAAACTTTATCTTTGTATAAATGTTACATTTCTATTAACCACACAACTAATACAAAACACAATTTCACAATTGGACAGTCAATAGTGAAATCTACACAAAGAAAACAAATTTTCACTCTCATAACCTAATTTAGAAGCTTCTCCACTGATATCAAATTCTAAAACAATAAAAAATATCGAAAATTCAAATCATCAAGTTTCAAAATTTGAGTGAACGAACCCGCGAACAGTGCGCCAGAAGATCTTGGAAGGAGCACGAAAGTGAATAGGACCATGAGAAGGCTTAGTGTTCATACGTTTCCTAAGGAATCTCATGTACTTCATCTTTTGTCGAACCAAACCTCCCGAGAGACAAATCTCTTCACATCGGACAACCACCACTTTCTGTCCGTTGAGCAGCTCCTTTGCAGTTGTGGAAGCCAGACGACCAAGCATGTGGTGTCTCCCGTCTACGACCACGCGCTTCGCGCATATCCCTGACCCAGACACCATCTTCTTCTTCTTCTTCCCTTCGGCTCTGTAAAAGTTGCTTGTTATAAATAACGCACAACACAAGGCTAGGGTTTTAAGCCCAAAATCGGTCCATTAACCTAATAAGCTCAAAATCGGCCCATGAAAATGAAGAAGCCCAAAATGTACGTTTTGGGATGATAAAACTGTTGGTATCATAATTTTAAAACCGAAATAATCGTAACCGAATCGGTACCGTATGATCAATGATGGATCAGACCATTTCCAATGGCATAACCCCAAGAGGGGTTCTTAACAATATTTTAGTACAAATTTTGTTTTTTTCTAGGTTAAGAACTTTATTTGGAATTCTTAACTTTTTTCTCTTCTAATGGCAGAATATCATTTGGGGTTCTTAAAAATAAATACTTTAAATTTTGTAAAACAAGAAGAAGTGTTTGCGTTAAAACAAGAATAAGTATTTGAAACAAGATGTACAAATCATTCAATATATGGTTCTGTTTGGTAACAATACATATATACCAAAACAGAGAACTTGTTACAAAAATGTGAAACAAGATGCAATGCAAAAAGTTAAATCTTTGAAAGTTACATATATACGAAAACAGAGAACTAGTTACATATATACCAAAACAAGACCGACAAGATGCTATGTTTGACAAAGAACAGAGTCCTACTCCATTTCTAAACCTGAAAAAAGAACATGAAACTCATTCAACCATTAATCACTTTTGTACAGAGACATTAATACAAAGTTAATGATTCATTCATTAGGAAATTGGATGGAATCTATAATTGGATGCCTTCTATTCTCACTCAACTATATTTACCTATTTAAGTTCCTTTGGAGAATTTGCTCTGAACGATTTATGTTTTTTTTTGTGTTGATTATAAATGATTTATGTTTTAATTGAATCCATCAAATTTCACAACAATTTCAGACTACATTGTTGAAAGATCTTATGAGAAGACAAAACAGAAGAAAGTTAGCTTTTGGAGTGTTGGTTCTCTTTATTTTTTCACTCAAATTTTTCAAGTTTGATTGAAAGTATTATTTTATAATTAAGTATTATTATTTTCTTTTGTTAAGTATTGTCTTGCCCAATAAACCAAAAAATATTAACTCCATTAACAACTCATCATCATTGACATAAAAGTAGTTCAACACACGAAAAGAAGAAGACAACATCAAATTCCATTGTCAGTTCTTTATTTCTTACACAACAAAGCCTCCATTAGCTCTAATAACTTGACCATTGATCCATTCCCCACCATCACCGGCTAAAAACCCTACAATCTCGGTAATATCCTTTGACTCACCGATCCTCCCCATAGGACAAGCCCCTGCAAGCATCTTCACCATTTCATCACTCTTTCCGGCATAAAACATCTCCGTCGCAACCGGTCCTGGCGCTACGCAATTCGCGGTTATTCGGCTTCCCTTTAGCTCCTTCGCCAACACTTTCACCATTGTCTCCACGGCGGCCTTGGATGCTGCGTAAACTCCATAACCCGGGGCAAGACCACCAACCATTGATGTAGACATCATAATGATTCTTCCACCACCTCCTCTCATAACCCTTTTAGCTGCTTCCTTGCAGCACAAGAAAGACCCTCTTGTGTTTATTGTGAATGTTTTGTCGAAATCTTCTAGTGTGGTCTCGGATAAAGATGGATACTTTGGATCCAAAACACCTGCACAATTCACGACGATGTGAACTTTAGATCCGAACTCTTGTTCTGTTTGATCAAACAAGTTGTTGATTTCGTCCGGGTCTGATACATCTGCTCTAACTGCGATCGCTGACTTTGGTTGAGATGAGTCGTTTAGTTCTTGCACCAAGAGTTCAGCTTTTGATGAGCTCGAGACATAATTGATGGTGACTCTTGCGCCAAGAGAGTGAAGGTGAATCGCGATTTCACGGCCCATGCCTCTCGTGGCTCCAGTCACTATAGCTACACGCCCGGCCAAAGGGAGAGACGATGAGCTTCTTAGATTCTTCTCCATTTATCTTTTTTTTTTCCCTAAATTTTTGATTAAAACATGAAGAAACGAGGACCACATTTATAGACATACATAGATAATGGTGGCGTTGTTGGATCAAGAGGGACAGTTTAGTCTTTATCACTTGAGATACATCCACGTGGCTGGCGAGTCAACGGTCTTATTTTGAGACTTGTTTTTTCATTCGTAAGCAGTGACGTGTGTGATAAACTGTGACCATTATTACCTAAGCTTATATGTTACTAATACTACAATAATTTCTCAAATTATCTACTCAAATATGTTCACGTCCTAAAGGTTGGTTCCAATTTTACTTTGAGAATAAAAAAGACAACTGAGGCCATATAGGTTACATTAACACCTTACTCCTCAATGAAACCTTACTATGGGAACAAAACCATATAGGTTACGTTTGTTTTGTAAACATTGGTGTCAACGATAAACCACAATGATAAATGTTGATTCTGAAAATCACACAATGAATTTGTCTAAAGGGGAAAACAAATTCAATTAACTCTCTTGCTGTTAATGATCAAAGACTCGAGAAGAATGATGAATTTTATTGCTTAGAGACAAAATTAGGGTTTTTGCTTAAGAACAATTAGGGTTTTTGCATAAAGTTGTGGATCCTTTGAATAGAGGACAAACCCCTCTATTTAGACAAATTAGGGCGGTTTTTAGATATGTTAATCTTCTAAATCTTCAAGACTTTAACCTTCGATCTTCCTTTCTTTTCGGGATTCTCCTTGATTCTTTGGAAAAGTCTTCTTTTTCTTAAATGAGGAAGTCGGTTGCAGGCGATCTCCCGTCTTTGAGTGGAGCTCGCCTGGCGATCTCCTTCTTCAGCCCATTAACAAGTGTAACCGGGATTCCCCGGTTTAACTGAATTCTCAGATTAATTCGTAATTCGTCTGTTTTAAACCGGTATTGTCGGAGGTGCCTTTAGAAATTCGCTTGCCAGCGTTGATACCTTTAAACATTGATGAACCATGCAAGTTAAATTTTTTTTTTTTAAATATTACTCAAGTCTGAATTTTGATCTGTTACAATTTTTTCTTCATAAATTGAATAATTTGTATTCGTTTTAAAAAATTCATATTATGTCATATACATAAAAAAATCTAATTAATTTATATTTCTGTATTGTTTTTTGTTCCTTGTACAACAATCCATGCAACAAAATAAATTCTTTTTTACAAATTAAAAATTTACACGAGAGAGCAAAGAGATGATAAATTGAAACGGATCCAAAAAGGAAAATAAAAAAATATCTACATATCAAAATCAATCTTTAAACATGTGGATTGACGATGTTATGATATTTTTTTATTCAACATTGATGAACCATGCATGTTATATTTTTTAAATCATCGTTTGCTAGTGTTTGATACCTTTAAATATTCGTTTTTTAAATATTTATCGTAGCATCTAAAGTTTTCAAATAAAAATTTAGGAAAATTGACATACTTGTGTGTTCTTGTATCCTTTAGGCACAAGGGATCTCTGCCAACAACCTCTCTGAGACTCCAGTTTGTCCCACCATCATATCGTGGTTATTCTCCTCCACGGCTGCTCTGAGGAGGACCCAAGCTGTCTGAAGCGCAGCCACGAGCGTTTTCATACATTTCACAGTGATCTCAAGACGAAGGAGAGTCATCAATGCGTTATTCCTGGTGGCATATCCTATATCATGAACTTCGTTGACAAAATTAGTATCATCATCATCATTAGCATCTTCTAGTTCTTCTAGATCTTCAAATCAGTTTTTAAGATTGTTGTGTGTTTAAGGTTGAAGAAGGGTCAAGTTTTGAACCTTAAACCCGTATACATTTGATGACAAGTATATCGACTACTAGTGACCAAACAAATTTATTAATTATTTCAATTTTCATATTATATATTATGTAGGACTGAGTGAATGATGACAAGATAACATAATTTTATGGTCGAAATGTGATACTGACAAATTAAGAAGACGTGAATGTTTTCTTATCATTCCATAGACCAAGCGGCCACATATATATATACAAAGAGATCGAGAGAAGCCCTAAACTTGGGGACAAAGCAAACTATATACAATGTTTATGTTTAAGGAAATAAATATATACTAGAGATATAGAATATATCTCAATACCCCCCCCCCCCTCAAGTTGGAGCATGGAGGTCACAAATGCCCAACTTGAGAAGAAACTTATCAAATTCCTTGCATCCCAACGCCTTAGTGAGAATGTCTGCCAACTGATCTTCGGTAGAGACATGAAAAGGTTTAACCACACCAGCTACAATTTGATCACGGACAAAATGACAATCCAACTCGATATGTTTCGTACGCTCATGGAACACCGGGTTGGTACTAATATGAATCGCCGGTTTACTATCACAACAAAGAGTCATTGGACCGGTGTGATCAACTCCAAGTTCGAATAACAAATTCTTCAAAAACATTAACTCCTTCGTGATAGCATTCATCGCCCTATACTCAGCTTCGGCCGACGATAAAGACGCAGTATCTTGCTTCTTAGTCTTCCAAGAGATTGGGGAGGAGCCAAGCTGAACTATCCAACCCGTAGTGGAGCGGCGACGGAGAGGATCACCAGCCCAGTCGGAATCACACCAACCAGTTAAATGAAATGAAGATTCAGCTCGCAAAAGTATACCTTGACCAAGTGTACCTTTGAGATACCGAACCACTTTGAGCGCAGCAAACCAATGATCTTCCTTAGGAGATTGCATAAATTGCGATAAGAGATGCACGGCATAAGCAAGGTCCGGACGAGTTGCAGCAAGATAAATAAGCCGTCCCACCAAACGACGATAACGACTTGGATTGGCAAGAACCGGACCAGTAGCAAGAGCAAGACGCTGGTTTTGATCCAAAGGAGAACCAGCCGGTTTACATCCAAGAAGACCCACTTCAGTCACAATGTCGGAAGCATACTTACGCTGACACAAGTAAATTCCAGCAGGACTACGAGCTACCTCTAAGCCAAGAAAGTATTTAAGAAAGCCGAGATCTTTCATATAAAAGCAAGTAGAAGAGTAGTCTTTAAATTCCTGGATAGCAGAAGGTGAGTTTCCCGAAATAATCAAGTCATCCACATACACCAAAATCCGGAGAGAAATGCCGCGTTTATTATAAACAAACAAGGAGTAGTCCGAACGAGTCTGAGAGAAGCCATACTTAAGCAGAGAATCAGCAAGCTTGGCGAACCAACAACGCGGAGCTTGCTTCAAGCCATAAAGCGATTTCCGGAGACGACACACCCGAGTCTCATTAGGTGACGAAAAACCTTGTGGCAGTTTCATATAGACCTCTTCATGTAGATCCCCATGAAGAAAGGCATTATGAACATCCATTTGATGTACCTCATGATTTTTCTTAACCGCAAAATCCAAAAACACACGGACCGTCTTCATCTTAGCCACAGGAGAAAATGTATCAGTGTAGTCAATGCCTTCTTTTTGATGGTTTCCCAAAGCAACCAGACGCGCCTTAAACCTTTCAATCGTACCGTCAGATCGATATTTAATCGTAAAGACCCAACGATTACCAAGAGCCTTCTTATTAGGCGGTAACTCCACAAGATCCCAAGTATGGTTACGCTCAAGAGCCGTAATCTCAGAACCCATCGCTCCTTTCCATCGTTCATCTTCCATTGCTTCTTTGAAAGATCGTGGTTCAAAATTAGAAGTAATGGAAGCCAAAAAACTGCGATGATTAGGAGAAAATTTATCAAACGATATATAATCAGAGATGGGATAGAGAGAACCTGAGGACAGCTGAGGAATAGGGGAAGAGGAAGAAGAGGGACTTGCGATGGAGACTGTACCAACAATGTAGTCTTGCAAACGAACCGGAGGATTATTAGGGCGTTCACTGTGTCTAGTAGCTTGAATAGTAGGAGCTACAGGTTGAGCAACAGAAGGATCAGGAACAGAGTCGACTGATCTTACCACAACGGAATCGGGATCAGGAGTCGCAGGGATCGATCGATCGGGAGTTGGAGCGATCGATTCGTCAGCATCTGGGATTGGTGCCGGTTCAGGGATCGATCGATCTGAACCGGGATCAATCGATCGGTCAGCAACAGGTCTTGGTTCAAGTTCCGGGATCGAACGATCTTGATCGGGATCGATCGCTCTGTCATCATCTGATGAGAATTCTGAACTATCATCGTGAGAAATGAGCAAAGGAGGATCCATCGACGAAGTAGAAGGTTGGTCGGAACTCTTGGAAGCACACGGAAATGTAGTTTCACAAAAAACAACATCTCGAGACGTAAATATTATTTCCCGATCAAGATCATAGAGATTCCATCCTTTCTTGCCAGAAGGATACCCGAGAAAAACACATTTGCGACTACGAGCAGCAAACTTATCACCTCCATTGTCACGAGTATGAGCATAGGCCAAGCAACCAAATACCCGCAAATGATTAAACGAAGGCTGACGTCCATAAAGCTTCTCGTAAGGAGTTGTCCCATGAAGTACGAAAGACGGAGTCCGATTAATAAGATATACTGCGGTCTTGACACATTCGCCCCAATATTGGATAGGAAGATGAGCTTGAAACCGCAATGCCCTTGCAACATTCAAAATATGTCGATGCTTGCGTTCAACCCTACCATTCTGTTGAGGTGTGTAAACACAAGACGTCTCGTGAAGAATACCATTCTCATGAAAGAATTTAGAAAGGCACAAAAATTCAGTACCATTGTCACTACGAATGACCTTGACTTTGCGAGAAAATTGTCGTTCGACCAAGGCAAGAAACTCTTGAAGATGACGAGCAACAGAAGCTTTGTCTTTCAAGAGATATATCCATATAGCCCGAGAGTGATCATCAACGATGGTCAAGAAATACCGTGAGCCACAGAATGATGTTGTACGATAAGGACCCCATAAGTCACAATGTATTAAATCAAAAACTCCAATAGCATTATTTGAACTGTCGGGAAAAGATTGTCGAGTTTGTTTTGCTCGAAAACACACATCACACTGAGAAATTAAAAGCTCACTATTCCTACTAGATAAACCACTAACACCCGGAATCATGCCAAAAGCCCGAGAATATGGATGACCCAATCGATTGTGCCATAAAACAGAATCAACTTGAACACTTGTCTTCGACGAAATCAGAGGCTCAACTCCGCGGAAGTGGTACAGTCCCTCTCCCTCTCGTTCACCAATTCCAGTCAGCGTCCTCGTTCCGCGGTCCTGTAATATCAAGAGACGATCAGTCAATTGTCCCACCAAAAAATTCTCGGTTACCAACTGACCAAGAGAAATTAAATTTGTATCAAAACCATCAACATGAAAAACATTATGCAATGTTAATTGCAAATTCAGTAGGATAGCTCCTTTGCGAGAAGAAAGAGCATTAGAACCATTCGGTAATTTAACTGACACCTGAAAAATATTCTGAATATCCGTCATAAGATCAATACGCCCAGTCATATGGTGCGTTGCACCTGTGTCTAAAACCCATAGAACATCAACGATCTTACCACTCAATGAATCGTTGATCTTAGAAGTAGCCACCAGACGTTGAACCACTTTCCATTGATCATCGGTAAGGTTGCTTAAACCTTGGCGATCAGCATCAGTAAGAGGAGTACCCGACGGAAGAGCAGCGGTGTTGGCTACCACAATTTGGGTGCTGTTGACCCGCGGCGGAGTACCACGGCCACGACCACGAGAATCATTACGGTAGCGTGGACGGTCTCCCCACCATTCTGGATACCCAATCACTTTGAAACAAGAGCTCGCATCATGACCCAACCTACCACACCCGGTACATTGACGAGAAGGATCACGATTGAACGGGCGTGTAGAGTTTACCGATGTAGATCCACTAGGCCGAGATGGTGGTTGTGGCAAGACAGGGCTGGCTTGTCGTGAGAGTTGTGATGCAAAGCTCATCATCGAGGGCTCCGTATTTGCAGAAGACCGGATTGTTTCATTCTGCACAATAGTTTGATACACAGTATCAAGGTCTGGAAGAGGAGATACAGCGCAAATCTGAGACCGGATAACTCCGTGAATGGAATCATCAAGCCCGGAGAGGAAGTCGTGAACTCGCAGCAGCTCCCGTTCCTTGTCACGTGAAGTGTTGAGATCACACTCACATTTGCCACAAGTACACTGTTTGGAATTCATACATTCTTAGATACCATCCCATATTTTGGTCAATCGACCAAAATAATCATCAACAGAAGTCCCGTTTTGCTTACACATGGCAAGAGAATTTCGAAGTTGTTGTAGACGTGCTCCACTCTTGATAGAAAACCTTTTCTTTATGATATCCCATAATTCTTTTGCTACTTCCCGTGTGGACAGAGAAGAGCGTATCTTCGGCTCGATCGTTTGCTTGATCCAGCCCACCAAGAGATGATTATTGGCTGTCCAATCTGCGAAAGTTGCATCAGTCTCCGCAGGTTTAGCAATACTCCCATCAATAAAGCCAAACTTCTTGCGAGAACTCAGCGCCATACGAAAATTAATGGCCCATTCATCATAATTCGAACCATTAAGCAACGGGGATGAAATCACTGCACCCGGATTATCATTGGATGTGAGATCAAAAGGCGAGATCGTTTTGTGTGTTGGTGGTGCAGTCTGATTTGCAAGTGCCATCGCAGGAAGGAAGAGTAGATCGTAAGGAAGAGATCAAAGATTAGTGACGGCTCTGTTTTCGTGAATGAAAAACAGAGGCAGCCGTGAAAAGAGAATCAAGCCAAGAGAGAACAAGATTGATTAAGGTCAAAGAATGATCGAAAAATAAAATCAGAAGAGAATTGTTTCGTGCTCTGATACCATGACAAATTAAGAAGACGTGAATGTTTTCTTATCATTCCATAGACCAAGCGGCCACATATATATATATACAAAGAGATCGAGAGAAGCCCTAAACTTGGGGACAAAGCAAACTATATACAATGTTTATGTTTAAGGAAATAAATATATACTAGAGATATAGAATATATCTCAATAGATACTTTCGCTAAAATGTATTGCTGACTGAAGATAATTCGGAAAAATCAAATCCAATACAATCAACCCCATCTTCATATTGTAGGCACATTTTTCAAATTTCGACTGCACTTAAAAAGTTGCGAGATAACTGTTATAAACTTTTATGATGTTGGAAGATTGTACAGTGACATCGTTTTTCTTTGAAATCCGATTGGGTTAGGGTTCAGGTTGAAGTACATGTTTGCTTTTATAGTTTTGATTCATATTTGGATTCATGTATTTTTCTTCATGATTTCTCTGATTTAGATCGTAAAAGAAAAAAAAATGAAAAAGAATTTCATATATGAAAAACTAAAGCATGCTCCTTTGTATGTCATATATATATATATATATATATCATCTCTCATTTTTTTTATATACAGATTATGGTAATGCCTAATTTTTCAAGTAATTATTCATATAGAACCTAATCGTCAAATGAAATAAAGTAGGCCTTAATACCCATCTATCAACAAACGAACAGAATAACAAGTTATGATTATGCTAATTCAATGGCTGGCTAAAACAGCTATGATCACATTAGGAGAATGTCATTTTGTTTTATGGTTCATTTCCCTGTCCATATATAGCACTGTCTATAAAAACGTTCCTATTAAAGAGAACAATTTTCTATTGAGCGGCCAAAACTGTAGAGGAGCCAAGTCATTTGTTAAAAAACATTCAATTTTGCAATTTCTTTGTGAAAATGTTAACTATACAACATTAAATAGAGAAAATACAGCTGTGAAAAAACGTATATTAATTTTGTAAACGTTTGGTAAAAATTTGTTATAGTAACGAGTACACATCTCTTGGAACTGACTCACATTGAAGCACGTCCTGGTCCTCCACTGTCTTAGAAGATAAAGGTTGAAAAAGGTTCAGGGCGTTATCGGTTATACCGGAAGGTGAACCGGTGTTTGTACTCATAAAACTTAAGGTGGTGACGACATCACTGATTAATGGTCGCACTATTGGTTCTTCTTGCAGACACATTGCCGCTACTGCTACAGCTTGGTTCAAACTTTTTTCCGGGAACTCGCCTCGAAGAAGTGGGTCCGCTAGCTCTGGGAATCTATTTGGTTCTCTGAAAATCGGTTGTGCCTAAACCATAATTGTAGATGGTTAAAATAAATGAATTATAAGCATGAAAGGATTTTGCGGTTAGGTTTGAATAAGTGTTGTTGGTACATGCGGAATATGAAAGCTTTAACTTCAACTAACAGTTTGAATACTCCTACATGTTGATAAAAATGAATATGTATTTAAAATTTAAAGAGAGTACTTACCCAAGTAACCAAATTTTGTTCATGACTTGGTCTCGTTGTATCGATAACTCGCTTACCGGTTATGAGTTCTAACAGCACAACTCCAAAACTATATACATCAGATTTAACCGTCAACTGACCGGTTTTATGATACTCAGGAGCGCAATAACCGTAAGTTTCCACTACTCGGGAAGATACATTTTGTGTGTCCCCAACCGAACCAAGTTTTGCCAAACCGAAATCTGATAGTTTTGCATCCAAATCTCCGTTAAGCAATATATTTGACGATTTGAAATCTCGATATATCACTGGAGGGTTTGCCTTCTCGTGGAGATACTCAAGCCCTTTTGCGGCTCCTAAGGCAATCCTTATCCGAGAGTTCCAATCCAGTGGTTGTTGTCCCGCTCCAACATCTAGTTCAATCAAATAATTATTGATAGTACAAAATTCTAAATTCCTATAAAAATTTATAGTTTTGAGTTTTGAGTGAAATTAAACTATCTGGCTCAGTCCATTTTGATTTATAACTAAAAGTGAACAAAAGAAACTGGTTTAAGGGATTGTGAAAAATATACCTAGGAGATGGTCTTCTAGGGAACCAAGAGGCATGAACTCGTAAACAAGAAGTCTCTGGTCTCCATCAAGGCAATATCCAATGAGATTGGCAAGATTGGGATGATGAAGAAGACTCAACCTGAAGATCTCTACCAGAAACTCTCTATTCCCTTGTAATCCATTACGGTCAAGTTGCTTCACAGCCACCACCTAAAGTCATAATTTCAACAAACAAATAAGAGTCTTGTCTCTGGTTTCTTGAGACAAAAGCCATTGATTAATAAAGCAACTCTCTCTCTCTCTCTCTCTTTTTATTACTTTCTTTTTACCTGTCCTGTCTTCTCCATCTTTCCCTTGTAAACCCTCCCAAACCCTCCTTCTCCAATCAAGAACTCTTGCCTGAAACTGTTTGTCGCGGTAGCTAATTCACGAAATTTGAAACTCTTTGCCTCGATATTTTTCGGTGATTCTTTGTTCATTCCCACCGCTTCCCATGTTGTTATCTGCTTCCGATCATTCCCTATTAAAATTTTTTGAAATTGTTAACAAAAAAGACGATTTCCCGGAGTTTTATTACGACTAGAGAGCTTACAAGCTAGGTTTTGTTGTTGATAAGGAGCAGCCAAAGATGAGCCTTCATTTTCTCTACTTTTGTTGTTCGTAGTTGGACCCAAGAAACAACTCATTTCTACAAAATCCAAAATCTAAGCTAAAACTTAGATTTGTAGGATCTCTCTTGTTACTTTAAAATGAAATTTTGAAAATTTTCTTGATGAGTTTGACAAGAAAAGCATAAAAGTATGATAGAGATCCTACAAAACCCTGTTTTTAATTATTTATCCAGACTTTAATAGTTGATTATGTTTCGTTGTTAAAATCAGATGTTTCTTAGGAAAGGGAAGATGTTTTTACGATGAAACAAGAACGAAAAAGACAACTTCATGATGAGATGTGAGAAGGTTTGTTGTTGTTTTTTTTTTGGTTATAAAACGACCATTAAACAGCTTAGCGTTGAGGAAATTAATAGAACAAAGAATCTTTGCTAACGTTTTCCAATAATATCCTAATGTTGACTTCTTTTAGAATTTTCTTGTTATCTATATGGTTTCTTATTTTGCTTAATTAAGTGTAATAGATCGCTAAAAGATATCTAACAGATGCCTATAAATAATAATTCAATCCAGTTTACCAAAACTGGGCTTTAGTTGTTCAGATCGCAAATAGGAATAATTTTGGGTTTAAATATTTGATGTAAATTATATCTGCTTGAAAAGTGAAAATAGGGAATCATTTTTATGAATTACTAGGTTTTCTAAATTCCAACTGATGTTTTAGTCAATATTTTATGCATTTTATTTTTGAAATAAAATTTTAGCTTCAACAGAAATTTGAAAATTTGGAAGATTAAATTTTTTTTTTTTTATATTGAATCCATCTTATATTACCAATACCAACATATGAACAAAATATTTTGACAACTATCATTAATCGGAATATTTCACCAAAATATATAAATTAAACTCACCCGTAGCGTGAGTTCAAAATCTAGTCCTTCTTTCAAATTTTGCATCACATTTACACTAGTTACATCCCACTATTGTCTTATACCTGCAATAACACTAAGCTTTTAATTAATTCAACTCATGTACACTGAGCTTAGAATTAATAACCGCCCTTGAATTAGCAATTAATCTGAAACTTGTTCTTTAGCTTCATGAGTTTCTTTTACCTATACCTTATTTAACACTTCTTATGTAGCATCTTTCCCAAGCGATGACTTATATCATCGTGAAACTTTTTTCTCCATCTAATCTCTTCTTTTGCAGGGTTCCAAAACAACAATGCTTTGGGATACAGAGAACGTTTCTATCCCTAAAGACGTGGATCCTTGCTTTTTGAGCCGTAACATTAGGCTTTAGCTAGACAAAGCGAACTACTTTTGACAAGTGTCCATTGTCACTGTCGGAAGCTTTGCCAACCTTAAACCTAATGTCCAAGAGATTCTGGAGTTGACCGGCATCGAAAAAGATTACGTCAAGCCCCTCAAGCGGAAAGGAAAAGTGTTAAAGGAGAATAGTGATAAAAAAAAATCCTAGTGAGGTTGGTAATGTGGATTCATGAGATCCGCACGCTACCTAATATTCTCCTCGTTTTGGGAGGTGATGGTTTTGTGGATGGATTATCAGAACTGGTACAAAAGGGTTACAACATTCTTTCAGCCCAACCGACTACCGGAAGGTCTTCACCAAAACTGGATTTTGTGTCAAAGACCATATGGCTTTGGAAAAGCCTGGCTGGAGGATTGCCAACCATTCATCAACAGAGAGTTCTCTTTGTGAGGCCACGGGAAAAATATGATCAAGGCTCCATAAGCCGCGTCTTAGATGCTTTTAACCTCTTGAAAACCAAAAGTATGATACATGTAAGACATACTGAAACATGTAATAAAAGGAGAAGAAAAGCTTAGTGAGCAGGTGAGTTCTGTAAGTGCTAGGAGTCTGGATGAGAAAGAACCTAACAATCTATTCCTTGATGAGAAAGGACTAGAATCATCTTGTCTTACGGTGCCAGTACGATTTTTATATTAATTCTCAGATTTATTCTTATTTTTCTATCAATTGTTTTAATATAATTTTAGGCTTAGTAATCATTTAAATAGCTAGATATTGGCATTAGTAATGCAAAAATATTATTAAGCTTAATACAGACGGTGCCTCTCACGGGAATCCGGGCTTAGCCACGGCGGGAAGAGTGCTGAGAGATGGGAATGGAGATTGGTGTGGTGGTTTTTCTCTCAATATAGGTCGTTGTACGGCACCATTGGCGGAATTATGGGGAGTGTACTACGGTTTATATATAGCTTGGGAGAAACAAATCACACGGTTGGAGCTGGAAGTGGACTCGCAGCTAGTAGTCGGATTTCTGAAGACAGGGGTGAGTGAGATGCATCCGCTGTCGTTCCTGGTACGCTTGTGCCATGGCTTTTTATATATCGAGGGACTGGATAGTCCGTATTTCGCATGTGTATAGGAAAGCTAACCGTCTTACTGATGGGTTAGCGAACCATGCGTTCTCTTTGCCTCTTGGTTTTCATTTTTTTGATGTTGTTCCGAATGATGTTGAATCACTTCTCAGTGGTAACGTGATTGGGTCTACGCGCCCAAGACGTATTCGTTTGTAACTTGTTTTTATTTTTTCTTAATAAAAGGGAGACATAGTCTCCTATTCCTTACCAAAAAAAATATGACGTTTTATTTATCTTACTTGTTGTATTTTGTAATGATTTTTCTATTAGTAAAACAATTAATAAAAATATTTTGACAAATATTAGAAATTAAACTACCATACGTTTACGCATACTTATGTTTCTCTTTTCTATTAGGAAATACTTTTGCTATTAATCAATCAGTTATAGAGTAATACATCTTAACATTTCTGGTACATGTGTATTTATTTTATATATTTTGATGAAAATCATATAATATTAACGATAGTTATTAAAATATTGATTTTTATTTATTTGGTGTTTGCCAAAAAACTTTTTTGTTTTATGTTTTTATTACATTGTCTTGCATAACAAAATCTTAATTTTCAATATGTTTTCTAGAAAAATATTTTGTTTAGCTGGCACTAAGTGATAATATCTTTTATTTTTGTTTGAAAAACTTTAATATTAAAATTTTGCTAGATTAAAAAACATACGTTAAACTATTAGAATCTAAATATGCTAATTACTGAGATGACTAATCGTGATTAGTCGTTTGAAATCCTATTCATACAAAACTTATTCTTTTTTCGCACATGTAATTTTTTTTTAATTTACACTTTTCTGTTTCCATATAAGCATCTTAATTTTCAAATGATATTATTTTATATGTTATAATAACAGATTTTAACATTTTTTATTTTTCCAAATCTTATTATACAATGTATGGTTTTCAAAGTTAGTAACTCATAGGATCGTGCCACGTGTCAAATTTATCGATCTCAGATTTTGACACGTGTTCAACAAAAATTTCCTTTTATTTATTTAAAAAATATATAAGGAAACTATACACACATGTCATATTTATCAACGTGTAAAACCAAAAAAAATATTTGTTTATAAAAAAGTAATAAGGAAATTATACGTATATATCTTATATAAAACAATTCTAAAAATCTAAAAAAGACAAATATAAGGAAGGAGAGACTTATTAATAGAAAATAATATATTATATAAAATTTACTATTAGTTTATAATATATTATATAAAATTTACTATTAGTTTTGTCTAGAAATAATCTATACTTAAGGAAAAAAAAAATATGAAAATCAATCAAATTAATATTTAAAATTTTTTGTTATGGTCCACAAAGATTAACAAAAGCAAAAAAAAATTGTGGGTTTTTTTTTATAAATAATTATAATATTAGATCATTAGTTGAACTTTATTTTAAATAAGTCAAGGATTTTTAATTTTATTACATTAGAATTTGGTTTAAAATTCTAATGAACCAAACTTATTTGGCTCTTTTGTTGTTTTAATGACAATTTTTATTTCATGTAGTTAAATTAGTTTGATATGGGGTCAAAAACTATAATGCATTGGGGTCATTATAATTACTCTTAATAAAATGTATTAGAATTTTCAAAATTCATAGGGGTCAACTGACCCCCATAATAATACACTGCCTCCGCCCATGGTCATGGTTGATTCCACATTCCAAGAGGATTATACGAGGACTGACTTTCTGGTTCAAAGAAGCCAAAGGAAACTTTTCTCATCATGATCACCAAGATCAACATGATCTCTAGCTAATTTCACCACAAATAGCAAATAATTCATCAACGATCTGAACTTTACGATTCTCCATTCGTAGCAAATAAAACTCATTAACGAGCGAAACTGTAAAGTGCCATACGTTCTTCAACATCCAATCACCTAAAACTACAATTGTATGTACCATGTTTATGTAAAAATATTATTGAAGAAGAAAATTTTTATTAGTTTAATATTCTACACAAACACTCTATCAAACAAAGTCAATATAATAAAAGTCAATATAATAACTTTACGAAAGTGACTCTACATAATAACTTTACCTTATAACTTTAACAAATAACTATACTTAAGATCTATATAATAACTATGTGAAACTAAATTTATGAGAAAACTTTGCAGAACAACTTACCGAAAAACTTTATTAACCAAGGAAACTAAATCTACCAAACAACTGTGCATAATAACTTTTCCACAAAACCTTACCAAACAAATATACTTAAGATCTTTTAATTGTGCAAACCTAAATTTACCAAACAACTCTGCATATTAATTTGTCCAAAAAACCTTACTAAACAAATATATACTAAAATAATTGTCCAAACCTATTCACCAACTGCCAAATTACTTTACTCGAAAACTTTAGCAAACAAATATACAGTAAAATCTGTAGACAACTTTGCAAAATAACTTCACCCAATAACTTTACCAAACAACTATACATGAAAGATCTATATAATAATTGTGCGAAACTATTCATGAAACAATTCTGCCGATTAAGTTTACTAACTATACATTAGGATCCATGAAACTATGACATACCTATTTTTTTGTAGAACTGAGAAATCGTTTTTTAGGGAGTCTGATTACTTATATAAACGAACCTAACCACATATTTTATATAAGTTTGGGAAATTAGTTGAAGTTTTATTAAAAATTAGCCTAGAATAGTATGTCATGATCTTTAGGTTTTATCAAAATCCATAAAACAAAAAAAAAAAAATCAACAATAAATCTCACTTGGGCTGGTTAAAATTGTGAAGGTAGGTTTAATGCTGTTTTGTTTTAATGCTAAATCATATCATTAGATAAATATAAGGATCATTTTGTCTTTTGTTGGTGTACATCTTTAATTCTAAAATATATGGCCTAGATTAATAATTTAAGTTTGTTTTTAGATTTTTTTTCATAA